AGTAATAAATTTCTCTGTGCAAAATAAATATGGGCCAATTCTCAGTGTTTAACAAAAAAACAATCCTCGGAAACGTGAATTTAGCAAGCAATCGTGATTACAATCATGGTGCTATTATAAGGATTTATATGGGTATAAACAAGGTGCTGTTGCTCCTAAACGAACATAGGGACCCCTCGTTTTTAGTTCAAAATTTAAGTTCCTATAATATAAACAATCAATAGGCAAAGTTTGACAAAAATCTCAGTGCACGTTCTATTTCAGTGGAATGACCTTAATGGGCCCTTAAGGTGGCTCCATAGGGTAATAATTTATGGCATTGCGCGCGCACGTGTTATGTTTTGAATGCCGTTTTCCCATTCGTTTTTACACCCAGTCCTTTCAAACTTAGTACATGTAATAAGCAATGATTAAATAGTATTTTACTATCATCTCTGGTAAAATTATGGGTTTTAGTCTTGAATTATAAATGCCCAAACAAATGTGTTTTTTGCTTTTTCATTATTTCTTGACGTATCATTAAACTTTGCGCCTGAAAATGATCGCTCGGAATAAATTGTCATTAACATTGATGTTGTGTGCGCGCCCGCATCAGTTTTCTCAATAATTTCAACTTTTTTAGAAGTCAAGAGAAACCGTAAATGTCCTTCGTTTAGACTTCTCACGAATTTAATTATCCATTTGCATCAAAAATTTCCTCCAAAACTTTGGAAAAACGAAAAACACTTCGCCATTGCCTAGACGACCTTCATCCACTGCACATTAATTAACAATTAGATTATGAACTCGAGATTTCTATGACGTAATTGTTGATGAGGCCGAAGGCCGAATCAACTGTCAACTCATAGAAATCGAGAGCGATTAATCTAATTGTTTTAGTAGAATTCTCACTAAAATTTACTTCAAATAACGGTTTCCAATTATTCCTCCACGTATTTTTAAACTTTGCGCCTGAAAAAGGTCGCTCGAATTAAATTGTCATTTAAAATTGAAGTTGTGTGCGCGCGCATCAGTTTTTCAATAATTTCAACTTTTTTAAATGCATGTCAAGAAACCAAAAATGTCTTTCCTTTTGATTTCTCAGGAATTTAATTATCCATTTGCATCAAAACTTTCCTCCAAAATTTTGGAAAAACGAAAAAAATGTCGCCATTTCATAGACGACCTCCAGCCACTGCAGACTAATAGCTGATAGTGTTCAATGGCTCAGCCAATCAGATTACAGCATTTGCATTAGTATACCAGTAGAATTCTACTAATTAAACAATAGAGTGTTTCTGTCAAGGAACTATCGGCTGATAGTTGCCCCGCGGAAATTTGAAGTCCTTAAAACAAATATTTGCACGAGAAGCAAAGCTTCGAGGGCAAATATGCCAGTTTTAAGAACATCAAATTTCCAAGGGGAAACTATCAGGCCGATAGTTCCGAGACATAAACACACTATTGTCTTTATTGCTCAACACTAAATTTTCTTCCGCGCGCCACTTCAAAACTCATATTGAATTATTTTCAAATTTTTTGGATGAAAGCCGTGAAAGCCAAATGTAAAATTTGAAAAAGAAAACAGAACAAAACCCACTTAATACAATTTCAGTTGTTTATTTTCTAGAAGCCCGCATGTTTACAGAAACATTTTCACGGAGGAGTACTATCCATCCGGGTATTTTCCTCGGACGGGCACTATGTTCACCGACGCCCTCGATGTCCTCCATTACGAAACAATTGGGAGTCATTCGACTCATTCGTTTCCGCTTGCGGGGAAAGTGTGGAGGGTAAACATTGGGTGAAAGGAGTGATGCTGGTTTAGACTAGAGTGTTAGCAGGTTGTCCCTCGTTTTCCCTTTGTAATTACGGTCGACCTGTGAACCACCTTTCTTACTGATGCCGTGTTTAACCTTGAGCGTTTTACCGAGGTAATGGAGTTTTATACTTACCTAGGTAAATACTTTGCGAGTCTAAGCGCCAACTAGCTGATACTACGGTAAACGCCGCCCAAGACAAAAGAAAGTCAACCAAGGTAAAAGATCGATCTACCTTGTGATCAGGCATGGTTTAGGTCGGTAACTGACCTATTAATTGAAACGGCCACGCCTAACCAGTAATCAAAGTACCGATGAGGTTTTTTCTTTTGTTTTTACCTCTATTAAACGACCAGCCCCCTTTAAGCGGCCACCATCCATCTCCCCGTGGATGGCCGTTTAATAGGGGTTGAACAGGTTGAACGTGTAGTAACATCAATAAGACGTAAAAGATGGCGCTGGACAGGCTTTACTCACAGAAGAGAAAGCAGTAACGTGACAAGACAAGCCTTGGACTACGACCGACAAGAAGAGAGGAAAGGAGGACGGCCTAGGAACAATTAGAAGCAGTATATACTACAGGAGCTGGAACAAACGAGCTACCCCAGGGAAGGGGCCAAAGAATCAACAACTGAGAAACCCTAAAACATGGAATATCCGGAAACCGAAATTATTGAAATTGAGAATGATGACAGAAAAAAAAAATTCATATAAAATAGATAAAGTAAATCTTGTTCTAAACGGGACTTTAGTGAGGATAAAATGGTTTTAAAAATGCGATGTTTCGGGGAGTTTTACTGCTCTTTTACAGGCACCATAGTTCCAGCTCAATATGGCGGACTTTCTTGTCTTTTTGCGCCTGCGGTCACAGTTTTTTGGTTGGCCGCTGTGCGCCCGCAGTCAATAGATTTTCTCAGTACAGTTCGTAATCTAGAACCCAGGTCTCCCACTTTTCAGCGTCAAACGGAGTGAGATCTGGGTTCGAGATTATACAGTTCGTTTCTGTTGTATGAGGGTTTTTTGGTGTTATGGATCAACTAGGTTCTTGTAATATTCCGACTTTTTTCTGAATCAAAAAGGCGCGATTTAGGAGGGGTTTCCAATACTTGAGCTGTTCAAAATTTATATGTGAACATGAGAGGTTCTGAAAGTTTCACAAAAGCTATTAGGAAAAAATTTACTTCAGCAACGTCCAATAAATATAAAGTATAGGAAAAAAAAGAAATGATATCGTTGTTGTAAATTCTCTTTGCTTTCAGCTCAACATACTAGTTTTGAACAACCCTCTAGCTAATACATGCGGCCCTTCTGTGCAAACGGTGGATAATCCACTGGATAATCCACTGGATAAATCACTATCCAGTCAGGGTTAGTGATTTTTCGGATTTATATTATTATATACTAACCCTGATTGAGTAATGATTTACCCTATGATAGAGGATCAACTTTTTGAACAACTGGGCCAGACCTTTTTCACAAGAACATCGAGGCCGAGATATACCCAAATCTAAAGAACATACAAGAACACAACTCATGCTGTACGTCACTAGAGGAAAGTTTATATCAGTTGGCAACTTTTTTAAATCTGAAAAAATGAAAAACTTGCGTCTATGCAGTTTAATAATCAAACGCTTTTGGGACATATTTGAAAATAAACAATGAGCTTGTCTCATTACACTGTTTATTGTATAGTGGTCTGTATTTTGTATTATTATATGGCTGTGTCTCACAAGGACTGGGAACTACCGAATTCACGAATTTGATTGGCTGAAATCGAAATTTTGACCGCAGTCTAGATTTTCCCATCTCGAACGGTTACATTTTGCGGTGAAAAAGTTGCAAGCTAATTAATACAAAGATATTCACTATTTTCTCCTAAAATCATTAGTGGAAGTACCAAAGAGCCTGATGAGATAAAAAGGTACAGAGGACGAGCAAACCTTGGCAGATTTAAGGTGGCTTACTACAGTTTTTCTGAGACTCACTAGCGCGCGCTATGATTGCCTGCCAGACGTCAGTATTAATCGCGCGTGCAAAAATGACGTAACCCTAAGAAGAAACGAAAACCACTTGAACACTTGAAAGGCGTTAAATCACTTCGCTGTGCGTAGCAATAGTTTCAAACTCCGTTCAAACATGTGTTTAAGCCTAGGGCCAATAAAATATGACAAAAAAGCTCTATAAATAGCCGGTTAAAGAGCTCTAGTTTACTCTTGCTTTGTCGCACGAGATACATGGCGTCACATGAGCGCGCGCTTAAATAAAGGACATGCGCAATTCAATTCTCCTCCAAGGTTGTAAAAGCTAGTCTTTGATCGAGAATTACTCGAAAACCTACCGTACAACCCATGATGAAATTTTTACAGTTGATTTGTTGGGGTGAATCACGTTTAGAGCCAAACTTTTTTTAAAAATCTGTATTTTGTAAGACAGGTTTTGAGCTATTTTTGATTTCACATTTTCGTAGTTTGCGAAAAATGTTTCACAGAATTTTTTTTTTACTTTGCATGAATGTTAAATCAGAGCCAATTTCTTATTCCTGAAATTTTGAGGTGGGGTCATACGGGTAGATGTTGAGAAAAACGTAATTTAACCTACTAGTGCCCAGTCTCTTCTTAGTTATTCGGTCGTTCATTTTGGAGATTCGTTGACGTTTAATTGTTCAAGTTTCATATAGAATGGTAAAAGACTTAAGCAAACAGTAAATAGAGAAAGGAAAACATCTTGGAACATTTTTGAAAAGAGTTAGAAGTTGGGCTGTTATAATCCATCAACCTGTACGGTAAGCCACCTTACGCTCAGCTCATCGCCGTTCGCAAGCAAACTGTCAGCTAGTACAAACCAGTTACATTGAACGAACTATTTTTTCTCGTTTGCCAAATAATAAACATCTTATTAACCGAGCTTAGTCGTTCTGTATGGGAGAATCGTGACCTAGGTCGTGAGTACAGACCGCACTGCGTTCGGTCTGTACTCACGACCTCGGTCAAGATTCTCTCATTCAGAGCTCCTGCTCGGTTAATAAGAGCTAATTCAAGACTAGTAGACTATTAGTGTATTTTAAAACAAAACTACTAAAACAAAATAGCAAACAAAATGACACTAATATAATCGAGAGTGCATTTAATCGTGGATTATCGCTGCGCGGCAGTTTTCGTGTTTTGCAGATTCGTGATTAATGGTTCAACCCTCTGATCACGTGTTTGTGGGCTCAGATCTTTCCGTGACTCCCGACGGAGAAATCTAAATAACATCTAGTGAAGGTCAAATTCATGTATCAGCACAAAGTATATTATCCGAAAAATACACCCCTAAACAGCACTATACGTCCTCATAGAGTACTATACACCGCTATAAAGTATTATACACCCCTATATAGCACTATACACCCCTATTAAGCACTACACACCACTATACAGCACTATACACCCCTATACAGCACTAAACACCCCTACACAGCACTATACAGCACTTACACCCCTATACAGCACTATACACCCATATACAGCACTATACATCCCTATACAGCACTTTACACCCCTA